TCGTGGAAACTGATTTATCATTCAAAAATCCCGACAATGAACTTATTCAAAGGAGGTTAAGAAGCAGAAGATACAATATTCATAATCCCGATGAGTTGAACAACGTCTTAAACAACATTGGTCATGACATTGAGACACAAATTGAAGTAGTCGAAGACGTTCAGTCGAGTTTGGTTCTTGTACAAGTTGAAAAGTTAGTCATCAGTTATGATAGGTACAATCCTACCCGTGGTTCATCCTTTATTCCATTGCCCGACTGGGTGGCAAACAAAAAGGCTTGTATTAATATTAAAAATGAGGATGACTTATGTTTTAAATATTCCGTTCAATGTGGATTTTATGAGTTATTCAAAAAAGACCATCCCTGCGACATGTATCATTATAAGAAATATGTTAACGATAGTTTCATCAAGTGGGATAATGTTAACTTTCCAGTAGGTAATGATGAAATAGAACAGTTTGAAGAAGATAATAAACACATATCGGTCAATGTTTATTACATCAACCCCGATACGAATAGTAAAACGATTTTATTATACAAAAGAAGCAACAACCCACAAGCACAACACAAAATCGATTTGATTCTGATGATGTTAAATCCCATTACGCTTATATCAAAAAGTATGATAAGTTAATGAGTAGTCAGACTAACAAGATGAAGGCGAAGAAGTATCACTGTAGAACCTGCTCACATGGTTTCAAGACCGAAGAACTTTTAAAGAAACACGAAGAACAGGGATGTCTAGCAGTTGAGGGTCAAAAAATAGAAATGCCAAAAGCAGGTGAAACAATAGCATTCAAAAACCATTTCAAGAAACTTAAAGCTCCATTCGTAATCTATGCCGACTTTGAATGTTTAACTGTTCCAATTGATGTTAAAAGCAAATCGGCAAAAGCTAAAACTACATCATATCAAAATCATCGTCCCTGTGGTTTTATGATTAATGTAGTCAATGCTATAACCGGAAGTAGTGAGCCTTACTTATACAGAGGTGAAGATTGTATGGATGTGTTTGTAAAAAGAATGCATAAAGTGAAATGGGATGTTTTTGAGAAAATGAAGGAGGTCAAAGACCGTATTGAAACCGAGGAGGACTGGGAGGACTTCAATACTGCCACTAACTGCTTCATTTGCGGAAACAAGTTTGAGGAAGGTGAAAAGAAGTGTTGGGACCATTGCCACTTTACGGGGCAGTCTAGAGGATGCGCCCACGAGGACTGTAATCTTCGATTTAGTATGAGATATTATAAAATCCCTGTGTTTCTTCATAACATTAAAAACTATGATGCCCACTTAATCATCAACAAGGCTCACGAACTGAACAAGAATTCTAAAATAGAATGTATCGCTCAGAACAGCGAAAAGTTTATAACCTTTGGTTTTAAAAATCTTTGTTTCAAGGACAGTTTCAGTTTCTTATCGTCTTCGTTGGATAAGTTGGTGAAGTTGAGTAAATATGAGGATGATAAAAAGCGTGAGAACTGGAAGAACAATTTCAGATACAGCGTTAGAAACCCGTATGTTAAAACCGATGAAGATTTGGATTTATTGACTTATAAGGGTATTTATCCCTATGACTACTTTGATGATTTTGAAAGATTTAAGGAAAGGGCTTTACCACCGAAAGAAGCGTTTTACAGTAAATTGAGTGAAGAACATGTAAGCGATAAAGATTATGAAAGGGCACTGAAAGTATGGAAGCACTTCGGGATTAGAACACTCGGACAGTATCACGACTTGTATTTAAGAACTGATGTTTTACTACTGACCGATGTATTTGAAAACTTTAGAGACTTGTGTATGGAATACTACGGTTTAGACCCCGCTCATTATTATACGTTGCCAAATTTTACGTTTGATGCCATGCTTTTAAAAACTGGTGTGGAAATAGAACAAATCAGTGATAAGGACATGTATGAAATGATTGAGAAGGGTATGAGAGGTGGAATGTGTCAAGTCAGTCATAAATTAGCAGTGGCAAATAATAAGTATATGTTTGGAAAATATGACAGTTCAAAACCGAGTAGTTACATAAATTACTTAGATGCTAATAATTTGTATGGCTTGGCAATGTCCCAGAAGTTGCCATTGAAAAATATCAAGTGGGCAAAAAAAACGCCCAGTGTTGAAAATTGGAATGAAAACGATGAGTTCGGTTATATCCTTGAAGTGGATTTAGAATATCCTGAAGAATTACATGACTATCACTCCGACTATCCACTAGCACCTGAAATAATGAAAGTAAAAGTGGATATGCTTTCCGATTATCAAAAGCAAGTCTATAAAATGTATTATGACGGAAAAACTCCGAAGGACGAGAAAGCCAGTAAGTTAATATTAAATCTAAAGGATAAAGAAAAATATGTGGTTCATATCAAGACTTTACAGTATTATCTAAAAATGGGTTTGAAAATGACCAAAGTCCATAGGATAATAAAGTTTCAACAGAGGGCATGGTTGAAACCGTGGATTGACTTCAACACTGGTAAAAGGAAAGAAGCCAAAAGCGATTTTGAGAAAGAACTCTATAAGCTGATGAATAATAGTGTATACGGAAAAACTATGGAAGACAAGCGAAACCATATGGACTTTGAACTGGTGGATAATGAAGTTAGATATGAGAAATGTGTGAATAATCCAACATTCAAAAACAGATTTATTATAAATGAAAATCTGGTAGGAGTTGAAAAAACTAAAGCAAAACTGAAACTGGATAAACCAATCTTTTTAGGAATGACTATTTTAGATTTAAGCAAACTACATATGTATGAATTTTATTATGGTGTCCTTAAGAAGAAGTATAACGAAAACATCAAATTAGTATATACAGATACTGATAGTTATGTAATTCAAACAATGACTGATGATGTCTATAAGGATTTTAATGAGATAAAGCAACACATGGATTTTAGCGACTATCCACCTGAACATCCATGTCATGACAAAACTAATAAAAAGGTCTTAGGAATGTTTAAGGATGAATGCTCTGCAAAGATAATTACCAAATTCATAGCTCTCAAGCCAAAGTCATATGCTTTTACAATACACGGTGAGGATGATGAACATAAGAAATCAAAAGGTGTCGTGAAGCACAAGGTGAAAAAAGAACTGACTTACCAAAACTACCACGAAGCATTATTTCAAAACAAAAAGCATGAAATAACATATAATTTTATTCGTAGTCGCAACCATCAATTATTTTCAATGTCTCAAGTTAAGCAGAGCTTGAGTAATCTTGAAAATAAAAGACATTACTTAGATGCCTTTACTTCTTTACCCTACGGTCATTACAATCTACGTTAAAGAAAAGATAACTAAGGTTATTAATGGATACTAATAGATATAAACACGGTAAAATTTATAAAATAACTGACGTAGGTTATAACAAGTGTTATATTGGAAGTACCTGCGAGAGTTTAAGTCAGAGAATGACAAGACATAGAAGTAATTACAAAATACATCAAAATCAAAAGTATGGAAGGATGGCGTCATTTGAACTGTTTGATGAATACGGTTTGGGCAATTGTAAAATTGAACTTATTGAAAATTACCCGTGCAGTAGTAAAGAAGAATTACAAAGACAAGAAGGACACCATATAAGCAGAACTGACTGTGTGAATAAGCAAGTCACGGGAAGACCAGCAATAGAATACCGACAACAACCAGATGTTAAAGAACATAGGAAAGAGTATAACAAAGAATATAGAGCACTGAACCGTGATAAACTAAATGAGTATGATAAAGCAAAATATGAAAGGAAAAAGGAAGAAAGAGGGAAAAAGATAGAATGTAATGTATGCCATCAACTTATTAGGAATGACTGGATGAAGAGACATCAAGCATCAATCAAATGTCAATCAAACAAAACAAATTACAATGAAAGTAATGAACATATTAATATCTAAATAGTTCTAATAAACAATGAACTTAAAAAGGGGATACCGTGTCCCAGAAAAAGGGGATACCGTGTCCCAGAAAAAGGGGATACCGTGTCCCAGAAAAAGGGGATACCGTGTCCCAGAAAAAGGGGATACCATGTCCCAGAAAAAGGGGATACCGTGTCCCAGAAAAAGGGGATACCGTGTCCCAGAAAAAGGGGATACCGTGTCCCAGAAAAAGGGGATACCGTGTCCCAGAAAAAGGGGATACCGTGTCCCAGAAAAAGGGGATACCGTGTCCCAGATTTTTGGGGTTGGGACTTCCCTGCTTCAAATGCTGACGTTTTTCACCTTCCACCTGTCTTTGCTTTGTATTTCTAACTGTAAATAAAATACCACCTTACGATTGTGTTAAACAGTTTCTTAAAATCAGTAAGAAAAATATGAAATGATTGATGATATATTATGGATGTTGGGTTATAGTCAAGAGAAAGGAGAAGATGTTAAAGAAAATATCAAATTATTTATTGAAAGTAAAAAGTTTAATGTTCAAAATACAGTGAGAGATATTAATATTATTTTTAAAATGATGTATGAAAGAAGTAAGACAAATCAATTAAATTATTATCCTGAACTGAAATTATAATCATAATATAATAATAACATGTAAAATCTTATATGTTATAATTATACTGAACTTTTAACCTATAAATGAAAATTAGTGAGAAAAACACTAACAAAACAAATGCACCACCAACACCCCAGAACTTGATAACTACTAAAAGGGTTAACTCTTTCAAATGAAAAAAATGTCGGCCCCCAGAAAATCCACCCCTAACACCCTACAACAAAATATAGGATGAAATCAAACAAGGGTGTTAAAACGTTGGATAACAACATTTGACCCAATAACCCCAACACTCCTCCCTCTCCCCCCAGCCCCCCTACTTTCTCCATTTTCCCCAAAAACAAAACAAAAACCAAAGCCAAAAAGCAAAAACAACAACAACCAGCAGTTTAAGGGGGAATCTCCTTTTGCGTGTCCCAGAAAAGTACAAGAAGCCAGCTTTATATCACTTCCACATTTGCGACGCCTGGGTTTTCTTTCCCACGTTGATCAGGACTTTGGACTTCTTGCAAGTTTCGAGGAAGCCAAGGAGTGGCTCGGAGCATGGGCAGGTCAAGCGGCGCCACATTCACAGATATGACTTTGCAGCTAAGCCCTTCAACAAGACATGTTTGCCTCTTCTCGGGATCTTGTGGCTCTTGGTAGTTTCTGCTACCTGGGACTTTTGCCTGGCATGTGTTTGATCACGGTGCTCCTTCGTTTTCATGGTGTCCTAGGCTTTGTTTGTTTGATGTGTGTCCCCTCTCGATGTCTCGACTTTTCTGCTGATCTTTGCAGGTCGGAGGCTGCTGCAACGATGGGATGCCCTGGCCAAGGCAACGCAGCTCTGAGCGGGCGAGTGGGTTGGTGGGTGAGTAGATGAGTGTGTGGTCAAGCTGTTCGAGAGTGCGAGAGTGTGTAGTGTGTGCGCATGCAAGCCGTGCCCGCCTGCATGCGAGCGTAGGTGTGTGCGTGTGTGCGTGCGTGCGTGCGCGTGCGCGCGTGGGTGCATGCATGCGTGTGTGTACGACGTGCGTGTGGGTGTGTGGGTGTGTGGGTGTGTGGGTGTGTGGGTGTGTGGGTGTGTGGGTGGGTGTGTGTGTGTATGGGTGTTTGTTTGTTTGTTTGTTTGTGTGTTTGTGTGTGTGCGTGTCACGGGCCGAGAGAGGACCATGACCTCTGTGTTTGTGTCTTTGTCTGTGTCTGCGTCTGTGTCTGAGTGTGTGTGTGTGTGTCTGTTTGTTTGTGTCTGTGTGTGTGTGTCTGTGTGTGTGTGTGTGTCTGTGTGTGTGTCTTTGTGTGTCTCTCTGTGTCTCTTTCTGTGTCTGTCTTTCTGTCTGCCTGTCTCTCTGTCTGTCTCTCTGTCTGTCTCTGTGTCTCTCTGTCTGTATGTCTGTTTGTCTGTCTCTCTGTCCGCGTTTGCGTGTCTGTGTCTGTGTCTCTGTGTGTTGTGCGTGTGTGTTTGTGTGTTTGTGTGTGTCCGGTGCGTGTGCGTGCGCGTGTGCGTGTGCGTGTGCGTGTGCGTGTGCGTGTGCGTGGGTGTGCGTGTGCGTGTGCGTGTGCGTGTGCGTGTGCGTGTGCGTGTGCGTGTGCGTGTGGGTGTGTGTGTGTGTGTGTCTGCGTGTCTGTGCGTGTGTCTGTGTGTGTGTGTGTGTCTGTACCTGTGTCTGTGCCTGTGTTTGTCTGTGCCTGTGTTTGTCTATGTTTCTGTGTGTGTGTGTGTGTCTGTGTGTGTGTGTGTGTCCGTGTGCGTGTGTGTGTGTGTGTGTCTATGTGTTTGTGCGTCTGTGTCTCTGTGTGTGTGTATGTCTGCGTGTCTGTGTGCGTGTGTGTGAGTCTGGGTGTCTGTGTGTGTTCGCGCTTGTGCTTGTGCTTGTCTTGGTATCAGTGTTTACTGTTTGTCTTTGTGTGTTTGTGTGCGTGTCTGCGTGAGTGAGTGAGTGAGTGAGTGAGTGAGTGAGCGAGCGAGCGAGTGAGTGAGTGAGTGAGTGAGTGAGTGAGTGAGTGTGTGTGTATGTGTGAGTGTGAGTGTGAGTGTGTGTGTGTGGGTGTTTGGCGTGCGTGTGTGTGTCTATGTCTGTTTGTCTGTGTGTCTGCGTGTCTGTGGTTTTGTTTGTGTGTGTATGTGTGTAGCGTGCTTCATATCTAGGTGGGGTATTTGCTTCAGAGATCCAACGTGCCAGGCAGTGAGATGCCAGCCGCCTATTTCTCCCGGCACGGCTCTGAGACAGCGTGGGGCGCGTTGCAACGGCCCCGGCCATCATAATCCACAACCCTTACATTCCTTGAATTAGACATATTAACACAGCCCGCGGTAGCAAAAATGGCATACGTCGACATGCCCCCTGCCCGCAGATGCCATTTAAAACGTGTTTTTTGCATCCAGGTCGGACAATGGATGTGCTAGATGCAGACTGGGCCCGCTCCCTAGCGTTGTTTTGCGGGCCAGCGGCCATGCATTCAGCGTGTTTGCGGGCATCTTTCGCACTGTGGGAGAACCTGGCCCTTGTACCGTGGCTTGGGCCCCTTCCCTTCCCCCAATGGGAACCCATCCAATCTGGCGATTTGCCCACATCGCGGTCTTGCAGAATCAAGCCTGGTTTGTGGCCTTATCCCTGTTGGCCCAACTACTGGACACCTGCCACTTTCACGTCCCTGGTCTCGCACAGTTTTGTTGATCCAGCCTGAAGTCAGGAGCGGATGGAGGATGGCATGCACCTGAACGACTCCCTCTTGAACCTCTTCATGTCATCCCTGGCCCGGAGCTCAAGCACACGCCGCCGCGATCTCGCACTCGCCGGGCAACATGTCGCGGCTTATGAGGCCCCCAGCGGGGGGACCTTTGTGAAAGGGAACTTTGGAGAGGCGCCTCTAGAACTTTTGCCCTGAATGTTGCACCATGCTGCATTTCATTTTTTCATTGGCAAGCAGAGCGGCTGCAAGTATGGCGCGGTACTCGCAGCTCGTTGTTGATGCGGTTCTCAAGCCATCAGGTAATGCACATGAGACGCTCCCAAATCCTTTGCACATGCAAGCTGTGCTATTGGAATTGCGGGGGTTGGTCAAGTTGGTCCTTGACCTTAACAGAGTCGCAACTTTGCCAGCACCAGCATGCGGTGCATTGTAAGGGCCCAGTGCAGCAAGTACACCTTTCACTTCCGCGCGGGTCTCGCAGCTTCTTTGGGTCAGAGCGGCCCGCCTGTGCACCTCTGGCCGATGCTTTGACTCGGATGTGTGCCTCGCCATGAGGCGGAAGCGGGAGGTCAGGCATGACTTCGTGCTGGGCGCCAGCCCAGCCAACGAGGAGGAGGAGTCCGAGGAAGAGAGCGAGGCTGTGGTGCCCCGTGTGGATGGCCTCTCCTCGGAGGAAGCCAGAAGAATCATCCTCATGTGCCTCCTGAACAAGGCACGCCCGTTTGCCGGAACGGGGGACGGCGACCTCAGACCTGCCTGAGCACATAAGAGGCATATTTGGAGGGACAGCCGCCCTCAGTTTCCAGTCTGATCTGTTGCCAGTTGTGGTTGAATGAAGTTTGGGGATGCCGGGACGCCTGTCCATGCCTCACGTTGTCTAGTTCGAGAGTTTGTGGAAGACAGCGGCAAGAGAAGGCTGGCTGCAGGTAGGCCGATTGTGCCTTTTTCGGGTTCCCCGCTTCTGCTGCTGAAATCAGTCAGGGCTATCTTCCGTGCTACACGTCCAAGTTTTTTTTGAAGCAATGAACGCATGACGTATGACGTGTATGACATGACTTCCGGTAATGTGACAGTTGGGTGTTTGCTGGTTTGATGTTTTCAAGGAGTGCTCCTTTTGGGGTTGTTTTTTTAGCGGGCGCACGGGGGGAAACCACAAACCCAGGCCACTCGTACGCGTGCGGTGCAGGGCTTTTGCCTCGGGGGCGGCTTCGCGGTGGACAAAGCGCGCCTGGATGCCCTGAAGCTCCTGGACGAGGGGGACTTCCGGGCCCCGGCCTCCCTCATTGTGGATGGCCTCTTGGGTGAGGACGGGCTGTCTGAAAGGGGGCCGTTGAATCAGCGAGAGGGAGGGGTGTGTGAGAGGGAGGGATGTGGGAGGGATTGCTTTCAGAAAGGGGGCCTCGGCGGCAGACACGAAAAAATCCGATACATGCACAAGCCACCGGAAAGCAGCAGGTGATTTTAGGACTGACCTTATGTATCCTTTTGATCCGGCCTTTGAATCTTCTAAAGGATTGTGTGATCGTGTGAGAGAGGGAGGGATGCGCGATGCTTCTGGGTTGTTCGTATTGCTTGGTGTTTTTCTATGCGTTCGTTTGGTTTCGTTGCTGGTCTTGCTGTGGCAGTTGTCTAAGTGGCGGAGGGAAGAAATGCATGCCAAGCAACACCATGACAAAGACTTTCCTGGATCGACCGCGCTACCGTCACGGCGGTATTCTTTCTAATCCTGGATGTGTTAGGCCAGAAGCCCTTTGTAGAACAGTTGCAGCCGAAGGGGGCCGCAGACGTAACTGTATTGGTGTGTATTTGTCTCTTGGAACCAGGCCTCGGGCATAATACTCAATCTGCCTGGTTTTTGGGGTGTGTGCCGGAGGGGTCCGCGCTCCAAAGGAGGGCTCGGCGGAGATTAAGCACTTGGAGGGCTACAACTACGAGGCCCAGCAAAGGTTGGGCCTGAAGGAAGCAGACACAGTGCTCAGCGATGTTTGTCAGGTGGTGACCTGGATCAATTTATCAAGATCTCTGAATGTTGCCCGCCCGTACGTATCGTCTTGCTTCGTATGTTTGTAGTTTTCCTCAAGTGTTCTGTCTTGTTTTCCACGCTCCAATGGTGGAGTACCCATCAAAAGCAGCCAACAGACCGGCGTTTCCGCCCGTGCAGGTTTTTTCTTTCTGGGATATCTTTACATGTGCAGGGGAAACTGTACAAATCGATTTTTGGAGGACTGGAGCTTCTTGAGTGGGGTGCCTCTTTCCGACCGGCACAGGGTCATTATCTCACGCTGACCTCCCCGAAACATCTCGCTATTTGATGCGGTTGAGCATTCTGAGCATTCTACAATGTACATGTCAAATGCAACACGCTGGCCGAACTGAGCATCACAGCCTGTTCAAAAGCAGTTGCTGGACTTGACCACGCTTCGCTAGTAAATGTTTTGATCAAGACGCATATATCTATAATATATAAATACATCATATATATATATATATATATTTATATTATCTCTCTCTCTCTCTCTCTGCGGCATGTGTTGAATGAGCCTTGGCTGTTCCCTTGCAATGCACAGACAATGCCCTGGCAAACCGGCAGCCGGCCCAGGTGAGCTCCATGGATTCCATGCTGGAGTGCCGAATCGGCAGCCGGTCCCCGGCCATCCTCCACAAGGACGGGTTCGCAGGTCACTGCACTCGAACACGGACCTCCGGACACCCAAGGAAAACGGCTGGATTTTCCAAACGGGTGTGGCTCAAAATGAAAGAGTTAGGGGTACGCAGGTTTTAATCTTTGGTTCCATTTGCCGTCCATTTATTTGACCCACAGCCAAATGGGTATGGGTCTCGGACCAGGGTTCCATTTTGAGCACCTATTTTTGACCCACAGCCAAACAACCACGGTTGAAGGGAATCTTCCCCAGAATTAGCTCCCCTTTTTGATTTTTTGTTTTTTGGGGACCCTTTGTTTTCCACTAACCAGGCAAAAAGGTAATTTGTTCCTGGGTTCCTCTTCTTCCAGCCTAGAAACGGGGGACCAACCCCCAGACGCCCTGAAGACGATCCATTCCACGCCAGGCGGGCATCCCCAACGACGCGGAGGCACCGGAGCTGTCGCCTGTGGCTGCCCAGCAGCTTGGTCTGCCTATTTTGTAGCGAGCGCACCGGTTCGGGGGTATAAAAGACCTCAACGTGCCTGAGCGCAGTTTTTGAAACTATAATAATATTTGCAGAATGGGTCCCAGTTTCTCCTACCTATAGTTTGGAGCAGTGGGTTGAACGCATCTGACATGCGCATGAACATGTATGCATGTGCCCGCATGCGCCAACTTTCAGACGAGTGTTAATGTTCATTTGTATCTTATGTGTTTGCGTGATATTGCATAATGTAATGTAATGTGCTGTAACGTAATGCAACGTCATGTGGTGGTATGCACGTATGTGTACAATGCATGTAACGAATGTAAGTAAGCATTTGTATAATCTATGTATGCGTGATGCATGTTTGTTTGTGTAGTATTGTATTGTGTTGTTTGTACTGTACTGTAATGTACTGTTCTGTTCTGTTCTGTTCTGTCATGTATGTATGAATGTAATGTAATGTAATTTAATGTGCAGTAATGTATGTATGTATGTAATGTATGTAATGCACTGTATGTAAATAGGAATTTGTGCACGTAATGTAATGTAGTGTAACGTAATGTAATGTAATGTAATGTATGTATGGTATGTATGGTATGTATGTAATGCAGTGTCATGTAATGTAATGTAATGCAATGTCATGTAATGTAATGCAAGGTACGTACGTAATGTAATGTAGTGTAGTGTAATGTAATGTATGTAATGTAATGTAATGTAATGTATTGCAATGTAATGTAATGTAATGTAATGTAATGTAATGTATGCATGCATGCATGCATGTATGCAATGTAATGTAATGTAATGTAATGTAATGTAATGTAATGTATGCATGTATGTAATGTATGTATGTATGTACGTAATGTATGTATGTGTGTATGTAATGCATGTATGTATGTATGTATGCAATGTATGTATGTATGTAATGTAATGTAATGTAATGTAATGTAATGTAATGTAATGTAATGTAATGTATGTATGTATGTATGTATGTATGTATGTATATATGTATGTATGTATGGAATGTATGTATGCATGTATGTATGTAATATATGTATGTATGCATGTATGTATGTATGCAATGTATGTATGTATGAATGAATGAATGAATGAATGAATGAAATGTATGTATGCATGTATGTATGTATGTATGTAATGTATGTATGTATGTATGTATGCATGCATGTATGTATGTTATGTAATGTAATGTAATGTAATGTAATGTATGTATGTATGTATGTATGTATGTATGTAATGTATGTATGTATGTATGTATGTATGTATGTATGTATGTATGTATGTATGTATGTATGTATGTATGTATGTATGTATGTATGTATGTATGTATGTATGTATGTATGTATGTATGTATGTATGTATGTATGTATGTAATGTATGTATGTATGTAATGTATGTATGTATGTATGTATGTATGTATGTAATATGTATGTATGTATGTATGTATGTATGTATGTATGTATGTATGTATGTATGTATGTATGTATGTATGTAATGTAATGTATGTATGTATGTATGTATGTATGTATGTATGTATGTATGTATGTATGTATGTATGTATGTATGTAATGTATGTATGTATGTATGTATGTATGTATGTATGTATGTAATGTATGTAATGTATGTAATGTATGTATGTATGTAATGTAAATGTAATGTAATGTAATGTATGTAATGTAATGTAATGTAATGTAATGTAATGTAATGTAATGTAATGTAATGTATGTAATGTGTATGTATGTATGTATGTATGTATGTATGTATGTATGTATGTATGTATGTATGTATGTATGTATGTATGTATGTATGTATGTATGTATGTATGTATGTATGTATGTATGTATGTATGTATGTAATGTATGTATGTATGTATGTATGTATGTATGTATGTATGTATGTATGTATGTATGTATGTA